ATCCAAAAAGAAGCCATTTGGAAACCCGCCCTTATTGACAAACGAGTCCCTAACACAAATCTTGAAGGGATGTTTCAATTTGATAATTCTTTTAAGAACCTGTTTAAAGATTCACCCACCCCCCCTTAAATTGTGAAACAATTGTATTCTATAAACTTCCTATTGTTGGGACCTTTATTCTGGAAATACCATTCGCTGGGGGGAAAAGGCTTCTTCACTTGCCTTGGCATACACTGCAACCTCTTTCATTGAGGTACACACAGCACCTCTGAGAGGTTAATAGTGTCACTTCTGCGCCTTGACAAGACAAATAGGATTGTCTCGATGGTGCAAAGCACCTCATCAAGGCAGATGGCAGCCACTTCACACAGACCTAATATACCTTCTTGCTTTCCTCAGGGGAGAGTTTAAATAGGATTTCCAGCAGTCCCTGTTCCATGCATTACTCAATCTGTACTGACTTAAGTTCAACAATGTTACAGATCAGATGTACAACCTGAAACACCATTGCTACAGCCCTAAACTAACCCCCCCCCCCAGCTGCCAATAGAACACAAGTCTAATTCACTATGTGCCCAACATAAGAATAGTGTACTGTAGTTTAGCTGTAAATGTATTCCTAATCAAAGTTATAAATAGAATAGAATAGAATAACAAAGTTGGAAGAGACCTTGGACGTCTTCTAGTCCAACCACCTGCTTAGGCAGAAAATCCTACACCACTTCAGACAAATGGTTATCCAATCTCTTCTTAAAAACGTCCAGTGTTGGAGCATTTACAACTTCTGGAGGAAAGTTGTTCCACTGATTAATTGTTCTAACTGTCAGGACATTTCTCCTTAGTTCTAAGTTGTTTCTCTCCTTTTTTTTTTTTTATTGAAAAAGTTTTACAATTACATTTTCTCCCCAATTTCCCCCCCTAACCCTCCCTGACCCCCCTAACCCTCCCTAACCCCCCCTAGCCCTCCCCTCCCCCCCGGACTTCCACAAAATATAATCCAAATCCAAATCCCCTTTTTATAAAACTTGGACCCCTCCACCCCCTAAATATTTTTCAGATCTTCACAAAATTCAATTATTCTATCCCTATATAATACTTTCAGTTAAAAGCTATCTGATATTTCCTAGTTTGATATTTATTCTGCACATAATCTATCCACTTTTTCCACTCCCATGCATAAGTCTCTTGTGTCCGATCTTTTAAATATGCTGAAATCTTCACCATCTCTGCAAAGCTGGCCATCTTCAAAATCCATTCTTCAATAGTGGGCATAGCTTCATTTTTCCAATATTGACCTATCAGTAATCTCGCTGCTGTTATCATATACAATATCAGCTTTACTTCACCCAATGTAAAATCCTTAACTATACCCAATAAAAACAATTGTGGAGAAAACTGAATTTTTTTCTTCAAAACATTCTGCATAACCCACCAAATTTTTATCCAAAAAGCCTTCATTTTCTTACAAGTCCACCACATATGATAATATGTGGCATCTAGGCAATCACATCTCCAGCATTTTGGTTGAACATTAGGGTACATACACGACAATTTCTTAGGATCTAAATGCCATCTATAAAACAGTTTATAAAAATTTTCCCTCAAATTCTGCGACTGTGTAAATTTAACATTCTGAACCCATATTTTTTCCCATGTTTCCAACATCACTGGTTCTGCAAAATTTTGTGCCCACTTTATCATGCAATCTTTAACCAATTCAGTTTCTGAATCCCTTTCTAACAAAACATTATAAACCCTTTTAATATGCATTGGACCTTTCTCTTTTATATGTCTAACCAATTCCTCCTCATGTATCATTATACCAATTTTTTGGTCCTCTTTCCATCTCAATTGAAGTTGATTATACTGTAACCAGGTTAAATTAATCCCTTCTTCCAACAGCGTTTCTAAAGTCTTCAGTTGCCATCTGCCCGCATCTGTAAAAAGAACTTCTTTATATAAAACCCCCCCGAGTGACATTATATTTGTATTCCACATGATATGACCAAGATCCAGCCATAACAGTATTTTGTAATCCCATTTGAGTCGGTGCTTCTTCCAAACTCTCATCAAAGAGTTTCTAAGTACATGGCCTTTGAATACTTTATCCACTTTGTTGTCATAAAATAAGTAAGCATCCCAACCAAATTCAAGATCAAAACTTTCTATATTCAATATTCCAGTCTTTTTCCTTCCAAACCAATCACTTGCTTGCGTCAAAGCTGCTGCTTCATAATATAATTGTAGGTTTGGAAGTTTAAGACCTCCCCTTTCTGGAACATCTTGCATAATTTTCAGTTTAACTCTTGGCTTTTTCTCATTCCAGACAAACTTATTCACTCCTCTTTGCCATTCTCTCAATTGTTTATCACTTTTAAGCACCAGAATCATTTGAAACAAAAAAAGAAATCTTGGCAAAACGTTCATCTTAACTGCTGCTATTCTTCCAAGTAGAGACAGCTGCAGTTTTTTCCAGGTCTCCATATCTTTCTGTACCTCTCGCCACCCATTGCTTCTTGTCCTACCCTCAGGTGCTTTGCAGAATAGCTTGACTTCCTCTTCTTTGTGGCAACTCCTGAGATATTGGAACACTGCTATCATGTTTCCCCTAGTCCTTCTCTTCATTAAACTAGACATACCCAGTTCCTGCAACTGTTCCTCATATGTTTTAGCCTCCAGTCCCCTAATCTTCTTTGTTGCTCTTCTCTGCACTCTTTCTAAAGTCTCAACATCTTTTTTTAGATCGTGGCAACCAAAACTGAATGCAGTATTCTAAGTGTGGCCTTACCAAGGCATTATAAAGTTGTTGTTGTTGTTTTTCTCCAGGTGTCATGCTCTTTCTTTCATGGGACTCTTCAAAATGGGGCTGCGAACTCAGAAAAAAGTTTTGTACTCCCGCTAACATATTTCCTTGATCTATCCAACTGATATTCTGGATGAGAATCCAACCCAATTCTAAAAGTCCCTGTGTATGCTCACAACCTGTGCATTTTGTGTTGCATCTCAAAGAATAGACATTTCCATTTATCAGCACATGGTGAAATTGTTTGTCTCTCCTCATGTTCCAGGAGGGCAAACATTTTGTTAGCTTCCTTAACACACTATGAAAAGACTGCCTTCTTCAACTGACGCTAAATGTTCAGAATGAGAATGCTGTTCTCTACAGCATTGCCCATCTATATCCATTAGAGTTTATGTACTTCTTTGATGAGAGAAAATCAGTTGTCTGTCATCTATTGACAGTTATTGATCCTTCTCAGAACTCAGAAGAAAATAGTAACCAACCATCCTGTACAGTATTCTTTTCATTCAAGAAGAACAAAATAGAACCCCTCTGCCTAAATCTTCCTATATATCTGAAGAGAATAGAGAATATCTGTAGCTCAGAATTGAACTGTAGACTCTTGGTGTTCTCTGAGCTTATTGTTTTCTTGCATACATTTCATTTCCTAGGTCCGTGATGGCGAACCTATAGCACACATGCCACAGGTGGCACGGGAAGCCATATCTGTGGGCACGCAAGCGTTGCCCTAGCTCAGTTCCAGTACGCTTGCATGTGCTGGCCAGCTGATTTTCAGGCCTTCCGGGCCCACCGGAAGTTGGGAAACAGCCATTTCCAGCTTCCGGAGGGCCTCCGGGAGAGTGGGGGAGGCTGTTTTCACCCTCCCCAGGCTCCAAGAAAGCCTCTGGAGCCTCGGAAGTGTGAAAACGGGCCTACCGGGCCCACCTGTAACCTTTTTGCCATCGCGTGCCAAAAGTGGGGGGAAGCGTGGGGGGGTTGGCACGCGATGGCAAAAAGATTAGCCATCACTGTCCTAGGTAATACTTAGACTTACAGACTTACAGTCTAGCTTTACAGTGCTTTATAGCCCTCCCTCTCTAAGTGGTTTACAGAGTCAGCATATTGCCCCCAACAATTTGGGTCCTCATTTTACCCACCTCGGAAAGATGGAAGGCTGAGTCAAGCCGCTGTATATAGAGAGTCCTCAACCTAGGACCACAATTAAGCCCAAACTTTATGTTGCTAAGTGAGAAATTTGTTGAGTGAGTTTTGCTCCATTGTACAACTTTTCTCGCCACGTTTGTTAAGTGAATCACTGAATTACTTAAATTAGTAACCCGGTTGTTAAGTGAATCTGGTTTTCTCATTCTTGTCAGCCAGTCGCAAAAGGGGAATCATATGATTTCGGGACACTGCAATGATCATAAATATGAGTCAGTTCCCAAGCATCCAAATTTTGATCACATAGCTATGGGGATACTGCAACTGCCGTAAGTGTGAAAAACTGTCCTAAGTGACTTTTTTCAGTGCCGTTGTAACTTTGAACTGTCACTAAACGAATTGTTGTAAGTGGAGGACTACCTGTATAAACAGAGAGCCAACCCCATTACTTTCTAGCACTGAAGATCTAGGAAATGTTACAGTTTTACTAGTGAAGTGAAGATTTAAGCGTTGTCACCAGGGGTGAAATGCAGCCAGCTCTATCCGGCTCACGCAAGCCAGTAGCGCCGGCAGCGGGAGGCTCCGCCCCCTGATGTCCCGGTTTTGACCCACTGCACATGTGCAGAAGGCTTTGCGCATGAGCAGACAATGACACATGTGCATGTGAACATTATGCGCACGCACATTAGCGAGCCGGTAGATAATGTAAGTTATCCCTGGTTGTTTTTACCCCTGGCTGTCACCTTGAGCAGCCTGATGTCTCCTGAATTATATAGTGCTGGCCTGAACAGGAAATATCAGAGCAATGTTATACCGTATTCAAAGGGGGGGGGAGTGTACTTCAGAGTACACAAGGGCAGTCAGGTGGCAGCTGTCTCCAATTCCTTCAAGCAGCTGTATCTTTTCCTGGAATTGTACAGCTGCCCTGTGCAGCTGCCATAAGATCCCAGAAGGAGTTTGGTTGAAAAAGTTGCAGACTTTTTGTGCGATTGCATGTCTATCCATGCTCTAAAGCACCTACTTGCCCTTGAATCCAAAGTGCTACACTGCTACGGAAGATATTCCAACATTTGTATTTCTTCAGAGCACACAGATATTTCATATTTAACAATGCTCAGCACTGAAGGAGTGTCTTTCTCTTTGACCCACAGCTGTATTTGGTAAGCGCTGCCACCTTCATTTGACTAGAACAAAGAGGACATTTCCATTTTTTCTGCCTCATTAAGAACAGGTTTCAATTATTCTGCCGAGCAGAGGAGCAATTTGAGATGTACCCCATTCTCAGAAATCCACAGAAGTTTCTCATTTGTCCAGCTGCCTAGGAAACCTGGGTCTGATTCTTCGAAAACTCAGTGTAGATTGGGAATTCATTGTTCCCTAAAACCATCTAAACAAGAGGAACAAAGAGAACTGGAAGTTATTTGAACATGTGAAAAAGCAAATAAATTAAAATATATGTTTTCTTTTAAAATGGCGTGAGAAAACAAATCATTTTAGTAACCATTTTATCTTTGTTCTATGCAAATTATTTAGACTTGCTTCCAAAACCAGAAGCAACACACATTTTAATGACTGAATGCTTCTTTTAAATTGAAAGATAACACAGCTGGACTAAAGCTTTCAGCTTTCCCACGTAGACCACACAAAAAACATGGCCAGATACACTAATTCTACTTTATTGTAAAGCATCATTAGCAGAATCCTGCAAATGTGAAAGGACAATTGTCCCACAATTTCCTTTATAGCCCAATATCTTGGGGGAATCTCTTCACCCACTAAGCAGCTGAGGGTTATGCTTCCTCTTATGTGGCCATTCGCTCATAGGCAGCAATTCTTTACCCTGCCTTCCAAGATCATTCCCATGTACTGCTACAAAAGCTTTGTCTTCTTGACACATTTTGTATAATTATATGAATCTTGCATTATTTCTCAGCATCATGCTCAGTAATGGTTACTGTGTGGATGACCTTGGGGAAGCTACTCAGGAAACAATGAGACAAGAGAGGCAGGGGCTTCCAGTGGCTTAACAGTCAGAGAAAGAAATTTAGAAAAGACTTGTCTTAAGATCAAGCAATTAAAAACGGCAGCGGGAAATTTGTATCTCCAGACTTGTAAGATTATGTAGCTTTACAAAACAGTAGAATTAGTTCATCTAATCCCTCTTCTCTGTGGCAGCCCCTGAAATATCAGATCACTGCTATCATGTCACCCCTAGTCCTTCTTTTCATCAAACTAGATACCCAATTCCAGCAACCGTTCTTTATATGTTTTAGCCTCCAGTCCCCTAATCATCTTTCTTGCTCTTCTCTGCACTCTTTCTAGACTCTCAACATCTTTTTCACATTGTGGCGACCAAAACTGAATGTAGTATTCCAAGTGTGGCCTTTCCAAGGCATTATATAGTATTAACACTTCACGTGATCTTGATTCTATCCCTCTGTTTATGCAGCCCAGAACTGTGTTGGCTTTTTTGGCAGCTGCAGCATACTGACTGCTGGCTCATATTTTAATGGTCGTCTACTAGGATTCCAAGATCCCTCTGACAGTTACTACTATTGAGCAAGGTACCACATATACTGTACCTGTGCATTTTGTTTTTCTTGCCTAAATGTAGAACCTTACATTTTTCACCACTGAATTTCATTTTGTTAGATAGCACCCAATGTTCAAGTCTGTCAAGATCCTTCTGTATTTTAAGCCTATCTTCTGGAGTGTTGGCTATTCCTGCCAGCTTGGTGTTGTCTGCAAATTTGATGAGTTCCCCATCTATCCCCTTGTCTAAATCATTGATGAAGATGTTGAACAATACTGGGCCTAAAACAGAGCCTTGGAGTACCCCACTGCATACTTTTCTCCATGTAGATGCAGTTCCATTGAGAACTACACACTAAGTGTGATTGGTCAGCTGGTTACTAATCTATCTAGTGGTGATGCTATATAACCCACATTTTTCTATCTTATCAAGTAGTACGTTATGGTCTACTTTATCAAATGCCTTAGTGAAATCCAGGTAAATTATGCTTGGCAACTGGTTCATACTTATGACCGTTGCAGCGTCCCGGGGTCATGTGATCACCTTTTGCAACCTTCTAACAAGCAAAATCAATGGGGGAGCCAGATTCACATAACAACCAGGTTACTAACTTATCAACTGCAATGATTCATTTAACAACTGTGGTGAGAAATGTCATAAAATGGGGCAAAATTCACTTAATAAATGCTTCACAACAGAAATTTTGGTTGAAATTTCTTTCAACCAATTGTGGTTGAAAGTCGAGGACTACCTGTAATTAAAGGAACTGCAATGCTTGTTTTATTGTATATATCTTATAGTGAAATGCATCAATACTGGTTTATGTTATGTCAGCTTTTGGGGCCAGATTTTTTTGGAGTGGAGAAATCTAAGATTTAGTTTACTACTTACTTTCTTTTTAATGAGCTTTCTTTCTGATCATGGCTAATTAATAAAAAGGTTAGAGTCTTACCTGTGTCTAGAAGGACAGTTTATGCTATGTATTTCTTGCATTGGGACAAAATTTATCACAATATATAAAAGATGTAATTTTGTGTTTTAGCTCATGGCATTTAATTTCCAAAGTGTGGCTTGAATCCCAGTTTGAAACTGCAATGCTGCCAAACGCAGTTTTCCAAGGTGAAATGACTCCCAACTTTAATATAAAGTGAAATAGATGTTCTCATCACTCACTAATAATATCAGAAGCCAAATAATCTAGTTCAACATGTGGGAAATACATGTGATGTGCTCCATCCAACAAGCTACCTACAGTTTTATTACATATTCATAGAATAGCTTGTCTTCAGACACTAGTGTTTGCTACAAACAGTACCTTCCAGATATTTTGGACTTCAGCTGGTATCAGCTTTAATCAATCTGGATAATACCTAAAAATGTTCAAAACATCTGAAAACACACTTGAGGAATGTGTTACTGTGAGAAAGGCCCCAGGCAAAAAATACAATTTTTGAAATTCAGCTAGCTCTTCCAATCACAAAGGTAGACCTTTTTCCAGTACATGTTTGAGGACCTCACTAACTAATCTCTACGTTAGAGATTAAACTAGTGCAACAGCCATCATCAAGTAGTTCTAGGGACTTTAAAGAAGTTATAGAACGTTTGTATCAAGCACAATTTGTGCATGTATGTAGGTGTACATTCTCTACCCAAAATCTATAAAGAATATGCAATATTAAAATGTAAAATATTGCTATTCCTTCAACCTGAAGACAGTAAACACATATGACTTAGGTAGGACTTCCAATGAGCATCACAAGTGATGTGATGCAGACTTATCTAGCATGAAAGTAGCATGTCACATTGTCATTTGAACTTAAGCAAGTTTACTTCTACAGAATAGCTGCTAATGAATTTCTATTTTATCTTCTTCTAAAGATGCTGAAGTGTACTGTTTAGCATGCAACACAAAATTAAAAGCACATTTTGACCCTACATTTTTATGGCACTGAAGGCCTAATCAAACTCCATTAAAATTTGCTGCCTAGCCATCATTGACACAAATGGATTTTGGATTAGTCCCATCCTGCTCTGGTTGGCATGGCTCTTGACTACTGTACTAAGACATCTTCATTTTCCTGATTCTGTTTCTCTCCAAGTCTTTAAATAGCTTTCATATCCAAGTCTAATTAGATCAGTGGCAACTAAGGGGGAGAGAAGTTCAAACTGAAGTTCAGCCAAACCACAAGGGCAGACAAGTAGAAAACTCTATTTAGACAGTATAACTTCGATACCCTTCAGCCATTTCATTAATCTACATGATCAATGGAAGCCTAGCGAGTCAAGAATAGGAGAATACTCATGAGGTTTCTTTAGGGTAAAACATAGGCAGCTTTGACTATTGCACTATTCCATTGATTTCTAACTATTTTGGGTTCTTTCTTGGGGAGGTTGATTGGGGAATGGATTTAACAAATATTAAGCTGTCAGCAAGCTAGAAAAAAAGTTAGAATAGTGAAGAAAATCAGTCAATGCATGCTCCGGTTCTGTAAGTTTTCAATTTTACAAATTTGCTCAATTCACGTACCTCAAACCTAAATGCAAACTAAAATGTTGTTTAATCCAAATGTTCACTTCTATAGTAATATGTGATACAGTTTGTAATTCCAAAATATATACAGAGATGCTGCATGGAGGGAAATGCATTAAACCTGTGCTAGAAAAAGTAGATGCCTATAAATGTAATATTTTAATGAAAAAATGCTTTGAAAATAATTTGTATGCTCAAAAAATTATAGACAAAAATGCACATATTCAGAGAAAGATAACTAAAATGCATTTTAGTAGATCAGCTTTTTAGATCAGCTTTCATGCAGATTGCCTCTGAATTTATACATCAAAATACAGAGTCAAAACAAAATAAAAAAATGACCAGAAACTGACATGAACAGTCTTGCCAATTCCTAAAAATAAGTGTTGGGAAATGAAAAACAAAAGCTGTTCAAATATCAGTTCACCTGTGTAATAGGAGTATTGCACAAATATGACAAAATATATATTTATTTTAGCTTTCCCAAAATAAGACATAAGATGTAACATAATTATCATTTTGCTATGATCTCTCTCTTAATATTGCAATGAAAAACTCTAATAAAAATGTGTAGAAATGTTTGTTCTTTAGGGATTGCTTCTGAAGTATTACCATGTTTCCCCCAAAATAAGAGCCTGTCTTATATTTTTTTGAACCCCAAAATAAGCACTTGGCCTTATTTTCAGGGAGGTCTTATTATTTTGGGGCACATGGAAGAAACCAGAGGAAATGGTGGGGACCAGCTGCGCATGTGTTTAAATAATTTCGGGGAGGGTTTATTTTCGGGGGGGCTTATTTTAGTGCATGCGCTCAAAAGCCTGATTGGGCTTATTATCAGGAGATGTCTTATTTTTGGGAAAACAAGGTAGAGAAAGTTGAAGGGGGGAAAGTCAGCAGAATTTTCTTTTCTTTTGGTTTAAAAAACATGTATATTGAGAGAGTTGCACTGAAAATACGACATAAATTGCAAAAAATGGAAGAAGGCAAGAAAATTCCTCCCTCCAAAAAATGTAGATGTTTTAGAACATGAGCTGGCAGATTTATCTATTTCTGGTGTGCAGTGTTTAGTGTGTTCTGAAAAGCAGCTTAGCTTCATGATGTAAGATATTGGAATCAGATTCTTTGTAGTTTAAGTTGGAAGACGGGATTGAGACTAGATTCTAATACAAGTTCCAGGAAGCCTTTATAATCCATGCTATCTGATTTTCCATGCCCCAGGTATCCTTTCTGAGCCTATGACAAAGCAGTCTCATGACTGTGTCAGTATAAATTGGTCTGGCCAAAATGAGAGAAGAAAGGGAAAAAAAAACCCCACTGAATAGAAAATCAAGTCCAAAATGCTGCATTAACCAAAACATCATGTTCAAAGCCCATGAAATAATAGTTCTTCTCTGCTGGTCAGTTAACATCTAGAAAATGGTTAAATTTAGACCACCATATTTCCAGATGGATTAATACCAACTGGATCATGACCAGTGCACACAGCCAAATGAACTGTCGGGAAGCCAGAGTTTATGAGGAATAGTTGACTGGTTGAAAGGAATGGCTATGTTCAGTCCAGAGGAGGGCAAATTAAGGAAAGAGACACCATAGCTATCATAATAACTGAATTACTGCAATGAAAAAAGGGGGATATACAGTACTTGATCTCTGTTGCTCCTGAAATCAGGATTAGGTCCTAGAAGAAGAAAAGGAGATGAAGCAAATTTGTTCTAAATGTTAAGAATGGTGAAATTATGGATTCTTCTGTCCAGATGACAGAGATAATCACAAGCTTCTTGCTAAGTCTAAAATTCTGTTCGTTGTAATTCTGTCTACTGATTGTACATACAGCCCAAAACACTGTTTCTTCCACATGTTTAAAGTGAACTATTTTCTCCCAAAAGTTCTTAAAGCACCTCTCTGATTAAGTGAAAATCTACTGTAAAAGACAAGCAATATGGTGCAATTAATACCAGAGCTGTCAAAGAAGCAGTGATGGTAATAATCTGAACAGGCAGCCCTGTTTAACGGCTAAATGTAAAGCACCATCTGTAAGTGATGAAATGACATTTACACGGAGTGTAATTTACATCTGACTGACAATCTTCCTTTATGAAAGATGAATTTACTTGGGGTGGTGTTTTTGTTTTTTTTTTCCAATAGGCAAGTTAGATAATGCTGCAGGAAAATCTGACTTTTAATTTTATTATATAATGGTGCAAGAAACATCAGGGAAATTGAAAAGGTGATAGCAAACAAGAACCAGCTGCTTTTGACACTAGCATTAGTTTATTAATACATGAAAACATGTTAACTTGCCTTATTAATTCATGTTCTGGTAATATCACACCAGAAAATGGAGCTACTCTAGGGATTCCTAATGGGATAAAAATGTCACCATTCATATTCAAACTATGTGAAAGTGGCCACCAGATGCTTGGAACATTCTAGTAACTGATGGCTAAATCAGTTGTGGGGGGTTCACATAGGAAAAAAACCATTAAAAAATACATTAGTCTGTCATATTCTCAAATGTCTAATGATTTCATACTGCTGTAATCGTTATTACAACAAAGGTCTCAAATCTTTTTGGGATTCCTTGGTGGGCAAAGTCAGATATTAAATTTACTAGAAGCAAACTTTTGAAACGTCCATGGAATCAGTTTGCCTCAAGAGGCTTTTTTTAAGTCCCAATACTTCCTTTTTTGAATTTTTTTTTATTCTTATAATTGAGGTCCATTGAGTCCAGCTCATATTCAATAGTGATAAGCATAGAAAATATCCTGAATGTTTTGTTCTCTTTAAATTGAAATAAAAAGAATTGGGTTCCAGTTCTTTCAAGGGGGAAGAGAATTACAAAGTATTCTTGCACGTATTTTAAGGCAGTAAAAATACAGTACAGTAATGGCCAAAATACGTTGAGGACTACCTATACCATATGGGTGCCTTTCATCTTATTTTAGTTCAGGAATGTCCTCTGGAGTCCAAGGGAAGCTGTTTTCACCCTCCCGGAGGCTCGAGAAAAACCTCGGGAGCCTGGGGAAGGTGAAAAATGGCCCTCCCGGAAGGTCTGGAAGGCTGGAAACATGCTCATTTCTGGCCTCCGGAGGCCCTCAGGAGCCTGGGGGATGCAGTTTTCACCCTCCCGGAGGCTCGAAGAAAGCCTCCAAAGCCTGGGGAGAGCAAAAAATGCCTCCCCCCATGATGCAAGTAGCTGACATGGCCACGCCCACCATGACCACGCCCACCCAGCAACGAGGCAGAAAACCCATTGCTAAAGGATCTGAAGCCCACCCCTGGTCCTAACATTGAGGAACTGTTAGAGATTCACTACTACCACTGTCATACCACCAAGAAACTTGGAGAAAACACTCACTCGGTTTTTTCTCTCTACCTTTTGGTGGAGAATTTCAAAATGCCATCTGCACCCGGCTCTAACATTAAGCTGACGCTGAAATCTCAAGTTTGTTAGCATAACACCCTAAATCAGCAAGAAAAGAATGTGATTTATATGTCTCTTTCCTTGTTGCCTGAGGTCACTCACAGGTCATCATGTTGAGTCTATAGAACTGTGAGTTTTACTTCTTGAGTTTCATTAAGGAGTATGAAAAGAAGTTAGTTTTAAGCAAATTACAGGATTGCATTCCTAGGATAACTGACTGTGTTAACAGACTCTCATTATCCCAGTATAATGACATTTCTGTGAACTTAATGCAACATTACAATGTTCACAGATGATCTGAATTTTTGATTGCCTGATTTTTTAAAAAATGTGTATTATTAATAAATAGCAGAAACTGAGAAAATAATTATTGCAAATGCATATACTTGTCATGTATCTAAAATGTTCTGTGCTCCAGAATCTATTGATAGACAAGTGAGAAGCATTAAAATGAAAAGTTTTGTGATCAGTGTCAGAAAACTAACAAATAAAGCAGTATTTTTTGCAGTTATGCAGCGCTTTAGTTCTATGCAGAGATACTGATGTAAAGGACATGACAATTATTCCCGCTAAATTCATCTTGAAGTAGGAAAGTTAGATAATGCCAAGCATCATTCTTAAGAAATTAATTTATATTAATTGTGATTAATATAGTCACAGTGAGTTGCAGCATAGCAAAGGCAAGAAGACATGGGTATATTCTTTAAAACTCTCTCTGGGAGCTTGTCTAATTTTTTTCTGAAAGAAAACAGATAAGGAAATCTATCCCTCCAGTTTAATTCTCACCCTTCTGCTAACCTTTTGGCATACAAAACCATTGCTAGACCAATTCTTGAATATAGCTCATATGTCTGGAACCCACACTGTATATCGGACATTAATACAATTGAGCGAGTCCAGAGATATTTCACGAGAAGAGTCCTCCACTTCTCTGCTCACAACAGAATACCTTATGCCACCAGGCTTGAAATTTTGGGCTTGGACAACTTACAACTATGCTGCCTTCGGTCTGACCTAAGCATAGTACACAAAATTATCTGCTACAATGTCCTACCTGTCAATTACTATTTCCGCTTCAACCACAATAATACACGCTCCAAACTTGATTGCAGAAAATATTGTTGATTTCAGAAACAAACTGGTCAATGCCTGGAATGCACTACCTGACTCTGTGGTTTCATCCCCAAACCTCCATAACTTTAACCTTAGACTGTCTACTGTTGACCTCACCCCGTTCCTAGGAGGTCTGTAAACATAAGCACACCTACGTGCCTACCATCCCAGTCCTACTGTCCCCATTTATTTGTATCCATTTGCTATATTCATAATCATGTTTATACTTATATCTGTTATCTTATACATGCTTGACAAATAAAAAAAAATAAAAAAACCTACTTTACCATCCTCCCAAATTCCCCTGCAAAATTTAGCAGCCATAGAAATAGAGTCCATGCAAAAATTTAACCCTTTGTTCTGCATTTGTCCAACATCCTGATGTGCTGAACAGCTATTCGCATGGAATGAAGTCAAGGGGACCAAGAAAGATGTGATTTCGGAGTTGAGCATTCGGCTGAGCATACTTCACTGCTTCAATCATTTCAGGCTCCCCTAAATAGTGACAACAATAAGTATTTAACTCTTTGGATTGAAAGTCTCCACATTCAATACAGGAATGGCTCCCACATTGCTGTTGTTTAGAAAAGCCACGAACACCTGGCTTTTCATGCAGGCTTTCAGTGAGGGAGTGTGAGACCCCTTGCTTCATTGTGCTTGCCACCTTTATCTTAATTTTTTTTATTGGTTTTAGTGTATTTTTTTTTCTTTGTTTGCTATGAACTGGCCAGAGTCATTAAGAGTTCGCTAGCATATAAATTGTCAGAGCAAAGCCAGGCAATCAATCAATCAATCAATCTTCAACTATAACATGAAGCATACACGGAGAGATAATACACAAACTACAATGGAGATAGAACATGAGGAGAGAAAGACTGCCCTCACAGGGTCTCTCTTATATAGACAGTCTCTTAAAGTGATAACCCTGCTGACTCATTCTCATTGCATCATCTCAGTTTACAGCCTTACAGCAGCTGGTCAGCTGTTAAATCATCATTACCTTAACATAAATTTAATAAATTATTATTATCATTCAACTCACATCATTCCTCTACAGTTCCTTCAGCTGGAAGTCACCATCAGACGTCCAGATACTGATTTGACTTCCACAGTAATTTTTAAAAAATCTTAGGGAATAAATAATTATTTTTATCATCACAATTATCACCACCATCATTACCATATTTCTCTAAGTGAAGTCAGCCCTGAATTTAAAATTAGCCATACCCTGAAGGAAGGCAAGGATAGGAAAAATAAAACTCTCTTCACACTCCACTACAAAAATTGCCCATTATACATTAATTTTACATAATTATTATACTATCTAACAACATGGCCTATTGAAAATTAATTATGGAGAACAGTTATACTTCCTTTCAATGACAAACATTGGTGTTATTACACTATATTTACATCCTGTCTTTTGTCCATAAATGTAGTTCACATTTATTTAATTAATAAAATTTCAAGGATATCTGACTCTATGATGACTTTTGGTGGCTTATAAATAAACACAATAGCTATAAGATAGTGGTGAAATCCATATTTTTTTACTACCAGTTCTATGGGCGTGGTTTGGTGGGTGGGTTTGGCTTGATGGGCGTGGCTTGGTAGGCGTGGCAAGGGAAGTATACTGCAAAATCTCCATTCCCACCCCACTCCAGGGGAAGGATACTGGAAAATCCCCATTCCCTCTCCACTCTGGGAGCAGCCAGAGGTGGTATTTGCCGGTTCTCCGAACTACTCAAAATTTGTGCTACTGGTTCTCTGAATTACTCAAAATTTCCACTACCGGTTCTCCAGAACCTGTCAGAACCTGCTGGATTTCACCCCTGCTATAAGAAAGAATGGAACATCAACTATGAATCAACCATAAGGGAATGGGGATCCACCATCATTCTGTCCACAAAGAGAACAACCAGCATTTAACAATTTTCTAAACAACATAGGGATGGGAACCACCACAATTTCTGGGAGATACTGCTCCAGCAGACAGGTAGTAGAGAAAGTGTGCTTCTTGTTTCCATATTGCTTATTTGATTAGACCAGGCCTGTCAAACTGGTGGTCCATGGGCCAGATGCGTCACGCACACACCAGACCCACCCCTTCTCCACAAAGGCAAAAAAGTCACAATATGTCACAATACATCACGTGATGTGATCGAGTTTGACACCCGTGGGACCTAGAGCACACCCACCCTGCTGGACTAAATTGGAAGGGCAGGGACAATTGGAGATACAAGCTTCACACAATAACCACAGTGCTATTGTTGCTGGTGATAGCTTCAGTAGATCCAGTAGCTGCACTGCATTATTTCCACACCTTTCCAATAATAATAATTGGAGAATGCTTCAGTCTCTATTAAATATTTTGAAATCTAATGCAGATGTCTCCTACACTGTGAGGTTTTCTGGGCAATTGATCTAATTAAATCTCAGTGCTGTTAATATAATTTATTACTTCATTCTTGTAAGATATCTTCCACAGACAACCATAGGAAGAGGGAATCTTAATACTTATATTTTACTACTTTGTAAGATGTCTTCCAAAGAGATTCAAAAACGTACCCAAACATTTCTACCCCATATATGCTTATATGTGGTATTTCAATGCAAGTACAAAAACTTGGAGTGTTCATTGAGACATCTTCAAATTTAATTCATTGATGTCATTGTACTTAGAAACAGGTGCCTATGCAGCCTCCTGGATAATCTTCCTGATTTCTATTTTTTTTTTCCTAATTGTACTTTCATATTTGTCAGTCTGATTACATAAACAATAAACTTTGTCCAGTCTATCTCTTTATATATCTTTAAGAAATGGGCCTGTTCTGAATTATCACTTTTTAATAATGCAATCTAAAAGGTATTCCATTGTGCACATTTACCTTCTGGATATGTCCCTTCATTTCTTCATGAGTCTTTACACATTTTTCTTGGGAACATTACTCTCATCCTCATGCCTCTGTTCCCCATCAACTTTTCTTTCATTTCCTGTAAAGTATTGTTGAATTATTTAGACAATCCTAAGTGTTGAGGAGAACTAAATGCAGCTGCAAGTACCCACGGTCTTGTGTATTAAAAAGGCCACATTCCTTCTAAAAGCCAATTAAATATATCAGTGAAGCAGATGCGACTCCTAGCTGCCATTTCCTATCCAAGCGTGAAATCTTGCTTTGATAACCAGTCTTTGATTTCACTGACTTAAATGAAGAGCTCCACACTCTTTGTAGCTCACATCATTACGGGGGAAACAAGACAAAGCCAGCAATTTGAAGGAACATGGAAGTATATTAGGGAAACATAAGTGTGAATTCAAGGAAGTGGAAAGAAAAGAATCACATTTTTGTTAACCTTACATTCTGGAGACTTGGGGAGAAAAACAGCAATTTTCACTGTATTAGATTTTATCTGAAGATGAACTATTTCTAACAACTATGATCAAGCCATAGTCTTAGCCTCAGGCTTGATCATATAGGCAAATTTTTGTAGCCAAGAAAAATTCTGTGTTTGCCATTGTAGGTAAGTGACTAAAGCAAGTGTTTTTTGGATGAAACAATTGTGACATGGCCAAATGGATGATTAGACAAGATCAAGGCTGGGACTCAGGCAAATGATAAATATGTAAAAGCATATTAGGTCAGTTAAGGTATTAATACACAAGCTATTCTTTTAATGAAACTCAATTTGCAATCTAGACTGTTCTTTGAACTGGGGAGTGAAAGGTAACAATCAGCGGTGGGTTTCACATATTCTTGCCACCGGTTCGTGGTCCGTGCATGCGCCCGGCCTTCATTGCATGCACTTTGCTCGTGCGTGTACCGTCTGTGCATAGAATAGCATAGCGTAGCGTAGCGTAGCGTAGCATAGCATAGCATAGCATAGCATAGCATAGCATAGCATAGCATAGCATAGCATAGCATAGCATAGCATAGCATAGCATAGCATAGCATAGCATAGGAATAGAATTCTTTATTGGCCAAGTGTGATTGGACACACAAGGAATTTGTCTTAGGTGTATATGCTCTCAGTGTACATAAGGAGAATAAAATACATTCATCAAGAATAAAAAGATACAACACTTAGTGATAGTCAAGGTTACTAATAAGCTATCAAATCATACTAGAAAACAAATAAAAACAATATATGCGCTCAGCCTCCAAAATGTGGCTAATAGGATGGCATTACATCCGGGCGGGTGGGCAGGTGCAGTCGCCACTACCGGTTTGCCTGAACTGGTCCAAACTGGCTGAATACCACGTCTGGTAACAATCAACTAGCTTTTGCATTTAGAAAGGAGACAGCCATCCGCCCTGTTATCCTGTATGGCACTGAATGCTGGGAGCAACAACATGGACTTAAAGCTATCTCCATGCCATGGAAATGTGAATGCTCCGTCGGATATTGGGCATCTCCCTTCTTGACCACACCACAAATGACACCATTCGACAACATTTTGGTGTGGCACCAATTATAGAGAAGATGAGAGAAGGCTGGCTCCGCTGGTATGGACATGTTCTGAGAACAACTCCTTCCCCCATTGCCAACACTGCCTACCAACTAGAAGTCAATGGCTGGTGACCTCGCAGGTGCCAAAAACAGAGATGGCAAGACACCATCAACAAAGATATGCAAGCCGTAGGTCTGAGCCCTGGAGATGCAGCTGACTGTGCAAAGTGTCCCTCAATGATCCAAAAAGCAGATCCTGCACTTGCAGGAATATGCTAAGAAGAAGAAGAAAGGAGACAGCATGAACCAAGGGAGTAGAGTTGCTTGGTTGATATGGGCAGTCATAGAAATTGAATAAATAAATTAATTTTATCAGCATGACCTGCTATGGAACAGGAGGTACACGATAGCCCTAAGAGGTTAGGAACAAGTGAGCCTTCTGTACACTTAGAGGTATGTCATTCTCAAACTTTCATACCCAACCATTATGAAAACTGGCTTGACTTGTTCGTTCTTTAGAAGAATTTTTCATGCTTTCTTTTAAATACCTCTACATACTGTGAGAGAAAAGTTATTTCTCAATTGCTGTGCCTATTAATGGCTTTTGGAATGGACAAGTGGGTGAGCCAATCAGAAGGCGTCTGATGGGTTTGAATCTCCAGGGCTTTTATGTTCCCTCCCCTAACTGTCACAGTTGACAGTATAAAAGGAGATTCTTGACAGAAAACTGTTGGCAGTCCAGAAAGCAGTTCAGAAGGCAGTTGGCAGTTTGGAGAGTTCTGTTCAGCTCTTCTGTTAGAAAACTGTGGGCTGTTTGGAAGTTAGTAGAAGAGCAGTTCTGATGCAGTTCTGATGGTTTACAAAACTATTTCTTCTGAGGAAGAATAACCAGAACTAATATCACTTCTAGTCTCCCTTTATTTCTTTATCAGCAAAATATATTTGGTATAAACATGGTTTGTCACCAATGCGACTGCTTGAGGGCTCCTGGATTGGAGCTGAAAGGCAAAAGGGAGCAGAATGCCCCCTCCCACATATTGGGGCAGACCAGGTAAAACACACACTCTCTCTCTCTCTCTCTCTCTCTCTCTCTCTCTCTCTCTCTCTCTCCTCTCTCTCTCTCTCTCTCTCTCTCTCTCTCTCTCTCTCTCTCTCTCTCTCTCTATCTATAATATATATATATATATATATATATATATACATATATATATAAAACCTGACTAGAAAAGTATTATACATATGAACCTACGAATTAAAAAAACAAAATAAAAATAAATATTTGACCTTTACAGGGAGAAGTCATAAAATAAGGGTGTGGCTGGCTGGAGAAGTCTCATAAGACAGAAATAGTACTATCCCAGTCTCCCTTAAGTCTCACAACAGACAACACAAAATGTCTGATAAAGCCTGAAAGTGGTGATATTTATACAAACATCTTGAGCTATATATATATATATATATATATATATATATATATATATATATATATATATATATTTACACATATGTAGGTCTTTGGTTATTCGGGTCTTCTCCCACGTAAACTTGGAAGTGTCTTGGCGACGTTTCGACGAAGTCTCATTCGTCATCTTCGGCTGGTGTTCTCAGCTTCGTGCTTCCATTTGCTCCTGGAAGCACGAAGCCGAGAACACCAGCCTGAAGATGACGAATGAGACTTCGTCGAAACGTTGCCAAGACACTTCCAAGTTTACGTGGGAGAAGACCCGAATAACCAAAGACCTACATACAAACACCCGCGAAAACCTGAGAAAATAAATATATACATATATATATATTATATACATATATATATATATATCTGACAGGATATTTAAGCAAAGTAAAGAAATACTATTTAGTATTTGAATAGGTATTGTTTTTATTTTTATATTAATAAAACATTTATTGATAACTGCTTCAGAGGCTCATTTGTTAAAGTAGATCTTAATAGAGATAAAAGTTTACGGTACATTGATTTATTTCCTCCATGACATTTACCCACCTCAAGAAGTATTCACACAAGTGCACACACACACACAGAGTGCTTGCTGACCCACTTACTTACAGATGGGGCAACTGCCTACTGTACCTAGTGTGCCAAAGTCACCATCTCACCACCTATTTATAGAGCAAAGAACTGCCCCTGGTGATGGTTGCTATGGTGATAGAAGCCCAGATGGAGAACCATTTTAATGGACCTTAATAAAAGAAACTGGTTTCAGTCGCCTGGCAACCAAAATACATAGCCTCCATTCTAAAATTATTTGGCTGGGTAAAAAGCATAGAAACGGTATGCCCGATACTTTCAAGAATGGAATTTCTCAGGACAAAACTGAAGGATATCACTGATTTTTGTTAATGTTATCTGGCAGTTTAAGAAAATCCTTTTTCTTTATAGCTACTCTCAGGCTTCTGAAAAATTGGATTCATTCTATAACCAAACACTAAGAACTTCTAAATTTTTAAAGAATTTCACACACGCACACACATACACACAATTGATCAGATTGAAGCAGATAGGAATTGCACTCACTGTTTAAAAGGTATCAGGTAATCAAGAAATCTCGTCTAACTTTCTTTAACCTTTAAAAAGACTTTCACACTTACAACAGCACCCGCTTTCTTCTATCAATAGAGATCCATCCCATCCCACTCTCACTCCCTGCACCCCATCTTTCTGTATTTCCTAGAACAGAATTCTCCACTTATGGTTTGCGGACCCCTGAGGGGCTACTATGTCGTCACAGGGGGTCTGCAAAGTCTTGAAGAAATTTTATGATTTAAATCTTAAGATCTGTAGCCACAAAAGGTATTGAAAGGGTATCCATGGTGAAGAAAAGGTTGCGAACCACTGTCCTAGAACACTTACAGGGTGGTGCAATGTTGCACAATCAATCCAGGGAACCACTGGAGAAAGAATAATGTGTTCTTTTGAGTTGCATGAAACTATTCTAGGACTACTTGAGAAAGGAGAAAAGAAAGAAGGAATTAAGAAGGAACAATGCTGAGCCAAGAATAGACGTGGAAGCTTTAGGACTTTTAAAAGGCAAATATTTTAGAGAAACATTGGCATCTTCAAAAATCAATTTTCTTCTCGGAAACAAAAATTAAAAAAATATTTCCTCCTCCTATTTAAAACTGTTTCTGTTTTGCTCCAATGTGGGAATGGTTCCTTATTGTTCTGCTCTGTGATACTATATTTCCCCAGAGTTTCCCTCACACCTGTACAGAGCCACAAAGCAAGCCACATTTTCTTATTATAGAAAAATGCTTTTTTGGTCTCTATTGATTCTTATTAAGGCCTTATTTTTGTTTAGTTCCCTTGCCCTACTTTTTTGGGGGGTCCTCTTTATCCTTCTGATCCTATCCCATTTTAAATTGTCCTTCAATTAAGTTACATAAAATGCTTTTTGTGTTGCTGTTAAATATTATTATAAATGCAATCAACCTGACTAACCACCATGACCAAACAGGTAACCCAAGAACTTGCTATCTTCTGCTTCCTATCATGCTGGGTGTGATCACTTCTTATTGGAATCATGTTGCATGCAAAACACCCATGCCTACACATTCTTTTGGGGGGCGGGAAGGTAATTTTTTTTATTATTGATTTACTTATCTCTTGCCTTTATTGTTTTTTACAAATAATTCAAGGCGGTGAACATATCCAACACACCTTCCTCAGTGGTGAAATCCAATTTTTTTTACTACTGGTTCTGTGGGCGTGGCTTGGTGGGCATGGTGTGGTGTGGTGTAGTTTGGTGGGCATGGCAGGGGAAGGATACTGCAAAATCTCCATTCTCACCCCACTCCAGAAGAAGGATACTGCAAAATCCCCATTTCCTCCCGATCAGCTGGGACTCAGGAAGCAGAGAATAGAAGGGGGCAGGGCCAGTCAGAGGTGGTATTTGCTGGTTCTCTGAACTACTCAACATTTCCGCTACTGGTTCTCCAAACTGCTCAAAATTTCTGCTACCGGTTCTTCAGAACCTGTCAAAACCTGCTGGATTTCACCCCTGACCTTCCTCCTCTTATTTTCTCCACAATAAACCCCCTATGAGGTGGATTGGGATGAAAGAGAGTGACCGGTCCAAGGTTACCCAGCTGGCTTTCATAGCTAAGGCGGGACTTGAACTCACAGTCTTTACCTCTAGACCAGGGGTGTCGAACTCATGGCCTGTGGGCCGGATGTGTCATGGTCTGGCCACGCTGACCCCTGGTTTAGCAAAGGGGGGAAAAAGTCATGATACATCACGAGATGACAACATAATGTCACGAGTTTGACACCTGTGCTCTAGACCAAACTGGCATGGAAATATATCTGTTATTATTGTAGGTTTCACAGTCAGCCTGACATTTAGATTGGATCTGGCATTTGTATCCACCGATTGAGTTCTTCCCGAGAACCTGGGAAAAGCAAATATTCTTGCCTGATGGCGTTAAAGGTATTGCAACAGGGTGTAAGGTACTCCAAGTAAGCTGTCTTTTCCAATTGACTGGTGGTGATTTTTGCCAACACCAATGGTGTCCAACTGGTGCCCCCAGATGTTTTGGCATCACACCTAAGTACCTATTACTATTAGTACTGTCCTTTCTTTTGAGACAATAATTCTACTTTATTTGCAGATCTTTGTATTCTGGGGTTTTCTCTAGTTCTTTCTCTTTTATTTTGCTGTCTCCAGTGTACTACAGTGTCTACTATCCAGACTTTTTTTTTTTTTTTGGTCTTTCTTATTGACAATTATGGATTTTGAAGTGTAATGTAGCAGGTGCTTGTCTGTCTGAATTCTGAAGTCCTGGAACAATTTAGTTCTTCATTTTCTTTTCTTTTGTCTATTTTGCAGTCCCACCAGTTCTTGCTTGCAGGTAAAAGGTATTTCTTGTAGATATTCCAATGCACCATTGTTGCTACTTTGTCATGCCGTTGTCTGTAGTCGGTCTGTACAATTTTCTTGCAGCGGTCCACTGTTTCTTCAGATTGTTTGCAGAGCAGTATCTGCTGCTTTTGCTATCTTCTTCTGTAAGGTGCGTCTTATACTCTGAAAAAGACGGTAGTTTGGGACTAAAATGTGTGCAAGCCAAAAACCAAGCTTGGAGAGCACTAAGAGTTCAACCCTGAGCTAACAATATCCCTGTCTATTGAGACTTCATACCATTTACTGTCTTTATATGAACACGTAGTGCATATCTTAAAGTATAAATATCATATTGTACATTTACTTGCTTTTGTGTGTGTGTTTTTGTGTGTGTGTGTGTTTTGTTTGCTAAAGGTAGGTATGATATGCTGAACACATCTGGGAACTTTTGAAAGAATAGCTGATATATTCCTGGCAAACACTTTGAAGACACCAGTCTGCAAGAAAGAGATAAAGAATGACCCTCTCACAAGGAGCATATTTGTCAGAAAAATGCCATCTTGATCTTATATTCCTTGCTATTGTTTCGCTGCTTCATTTTACTGCAAACTGTTTCTAAGATGTTAAGGCAATCATCCAAGTAGATCATTGAAACATAAACTACAGAGCTAGAATCGTCTCTCAGTAATTGAAAATCACTTTGATATTCCGCTTTTGATATAACAAGATCAGGATGGAGGAATCTTCGGGCAATACAAGTTGTTCATGCCCTTTGTTTTGTCACATTTGAGATTGAACAACGGTGAAAAATAGAAATAAATTTCTTCTCCAAATATTTTCACTTTCTACACAGACCAGTGGCTCTTCAATCTAGTCAGAAACAAACCATTCTGCTTGCAAACTTGACTAGTCTTTCTACCTTTGTGCTTTCCTATTTCCTCTCCTTTGTTTCAGCTCCCTGGAATGGTGTTTTGTGATGTCTGCCACTGACTACTAAACAATCTTACAATATGCTGAAGAATAGAAAATGAGTTATCACTCTTCAAGATGCTTTGAGCATCTGTTGCAGTTTTCTACGCTAGAGTAAAATGGCTAATGTTATGGAAATCATTAGATTGATCATCCTGGGTTATAGTTGCAGAATCAAACTTCTTAAAATTTTATCTAGGTTCACTTAACACCTTTGTACATAATTCTGTTGGCAATAGCAATAGCACTTAGACTTACTGTATATACCGCTTCACAGTGCTTTACAGCCCTTTCTAAGTGGTTTACAGAGTCAGCATATGGCCACCATCAATCTGGGTCCTCATTTTACCGACCTCGGAAGGATGGAAGGCTGAGTCAACCTGGAGCCTGGTGAGACTCAAATTGCTGAACGGTTGGCAGTTGGCAGTCAGCAGAATTAACCTGCAATACTGCATTTTAACCACTGCGCCACCATGGCTCAGTGTTGACCTTCCATGTCTCCATGTATTTGGCAGCCCCTTTGTTGAAGAAGCAATCCCAGAATTGTTGATTCTTTGCATCTTTTACCTTATTAATCAGGGCCAATAGATGGAGAGAAAGAAACAATGAATTGCCCCATTGTTGTTCACATCATATCTGTTTATTTTCCTATGCTGTCAAGAATAATATTATTGGGCTCTCTATTTCAGCCTACTTTCTATAGGAAATACATATTTCCTTTCTTCTCCTTTCAAACATCATGAAGACAAAAGCTCAGAGATGCAGGCTTTTTCTAAAAGAATATTACTTCCTTAATAAATTGTATTGGTGTGTCTAGTTCTTAACTGTCTCTTTCTAGATAGGCCTAAATGCCTTGGTTTTACTCACATGTATTGTTTTGCTAAATACAGAACCCAGCAAGTAACCTGGAGAACTTCGAGAAGAATTATTTCAAATATTTTGCTAAATATAAGGCACCAGACTAGTTTTAGTTCTTCTATAGACACAAAGCCAATTGGGTGACCTTAGGCCAGTCACACTCTCTCAGCCCTAAGAGACAGGCAATGGCAAACCATTTCTGAAATCTTGCCAAGAAAACTGCAGAGACATTTTTCAAGCAGATTTAAACAATGATTTGGAAGGACAAGAAAAAAAAACCTGACCAGATTCTGAATAAATCATAACTTCTAACTATGATTTCTCGAACACTAGTTCTATATTCTATAAAAGAGGTAGTAATATCTACTGTCAGGCCTGGAAGCCATCTTTTGCATTGGGCCTTCAGGCCTGCCACATTTACTGCTATGGGAAACTGGGAGTGGGGATTGTATGGAG